GAAGAGGGAAGAAGGAGATGGAGGTGACCAGGAGGAGAATAGGAGGAGTCAAAAATAGACAGACAGACCTAGCCAGTAATCAGTTCTCTAAGTGTTCTCCACTGCATGGAACACTCAAATAGATTCACAGAGTTGGGTAGAGATGAGTGGGGGAAATAAGAGATAGAGGTGACCTGGGGGAGAAAAAGGAGAGTCAAAAGGGGGAGAAAGTAATGAAGCCAGCAATCACACTCCTAAGTAAAAATGGATACTGAAGTTTGGATTCTTAAAGGGAACAAATTGTTAACAAATACCAAAAAGCATAGTTTAAAAAATCTAGAGGATAGACTCTCAAAAATGAAGAATTTGTAAAAATCACAGAAGTTATAAATATATATATATATAGATGAAATTTGTTTTAAAAAGGTTTTTTTTTTTTTTTTTTGCAAGTAACGGCAGTTTATAAAAGTGAAAATTAAATCAGTAATAAAGAACTTAAAAAATTAAGAAAGTAAAATATATCTAGCAATTTCTCTGGAGTTGTTGATGGCAGTGTGGGGTCAGTTGTTTTGGATAGTGTTTTGTTTAAGCTTTTACTTCTTCTCAAGGTTTATAGACCCCTTCCAATGTAGTCAGTGCTAACTTCTGGGTTTTAATCTCTTGCACCTGTTACTTCCAAAGTGATTCCCTCTTCATTGTTTATTTTGGCATTTGCTGTTTGCAAGTCTCTTCAGTGTCTAATTTCTCTCCTGATACACTGGGGGCAAAGGTAGTCACTAATTTAGGCTCACTTGTTCAATTGTGCTGTGGGGAGGGAGAACCACTGCAAATAAATATCATTGCCATTTGTGGGGAGTGCTTGCAGTGTCTGGGCCACATTGGGTTTGCCCCCACTCACATGTGTGCCTTCCCGGTCTACACTGCTCAGGCTCCAGGTTGCTCTGCTGGGGAACTGTCTAATGTGAGTCCTGCATTTCATGCACTTCCCTGGACTGAGCTGCTCAGGCTTAGGTTTTCAGGTACTCCACAAAGGCAAAGACTCAGTTGGGCCTGCCTTTTGTGCCCTTCTCAGTCCCAAGCAGCTCAGGTGACCGTATGCTTGACAAGCACACTCTCCCCGGTGTATGGTGCATCTTATCACCTCACCGGTCCCATCCACTCAGTTTCTGGATTTGCAGTGAGAATGCCATCTCAGGTGTGCTGTGTGTCTCCTCTGGGGAGCTGATCTCTGACTGTGACCCTCTGGTAGGTCAGGAAGACTTGGTTAGCAACTGGGAGCCTGCTTACAGTTTGGTAAAGGATGCCTTCTCTGGGGCCAAGATTGCCCCTTGCCTTATGGCTCTTGCTGTCGCCCACCTGCATCTCTGCCTCTGTTGGGAGAGGGGCCGGTTCACAATCGGCTAGCTCTCCTCTGATATTCACTCAAATCCTTTGCTCTGTGAGCAGTCCATGCCGTGCCTTAGAGCTTTTCATGGGAAAGTTCTCTCTCTCTCTCTCTTTCTCTGGCTATCCCACAGTGTGGGATGATATCCCACGTTAGCTCCCTCAGACTTTCTTCAGGGCATTCAGGCCTGGTCCATACCTTAAGCATGAAACCCATGACTTCCTGTTCAACCCCCACTCGCTGGTGGTGTTCACGATGTTCTACGCTACTTCTCCAGTGAGGGCTGTTGTTAGGTGCATATTCTATGGGGTTTTTTGTTTCTGTTTTTCCTCCTTTGTGTTCCCCTCTGAGATTCTAAAACTCACCATAGACCCACCAGTGAGAGGATTTCCTGGTGTTGGGAAACTTCTCCTCTATCATGACTCCCTCCCCAGGATGGGTCTCTGTCCCTAAATCTTTTGTCTCTTTTTTTATATTTTATATTTTGTCATACCTCCTTTCAGAGAAAATGGGCTGCATTTCTGGGTGCCTGGTGTCCTCTGACAGTGTTCAGAAGTTGTTTTGTGGAATTTTCTCAGCGTTCAAAAGATCTTTCAATGAATTCCTGGGGGAGAAAGTAGTCTTCCTGTCCTATTCCTCCACCAATTTAGGACCGCCCCTTAACCTTCGTTTTTATCTTCTGTGCTGTATGCTTGTGGAATTCTTAATAATGCTGTAAAAAAGGAATCAAAGCCCAGAGGCCAGGAAGTCAATTCCATAACTTTGAATCATCATCAAACTCGTGACACCAGGAACATTAAAAGAGAAGTACACAGACAAAGTGTCCATGCCTACAAGGAAATAAAGCTCCACACACAATCCAGCAAGTTCAGTACAAGATAACCCACAACTCTTCTCCAGCAAAATAGGAAAACAACAATGAATACCATAAAATGGGCTGCCCAAAGCCATACCAAACCCACAAACAATCAAAAATGCATAACTGGGCACTTCATGGCACTCCAGAGTGAAGAGATCCAGATCCACCTGCAGAGCACAGTCAGAAGTTCCCCAAAGCACTAAACATTGACAAGTCACTGCTCCAACCCCATCCACAAAGAGCAGACTTCACAACAAAATGAAGCCATAACTGTCCAGCCTGCAAAAAGGGGACCCAAACCCCAGCAATCTAAACAAAAAAAATGAAAAGAAAGAGAAATATGCAACTGGTGAAGACACATGATAAAAATCCACTAAACCAAACAAAGTCAACATAGAGAGTCTGCCTGAAAAATAATTCAGAATAAAGACAGTGATGGTGATATATAATATTAAAAATAATGTGGAATCCCTGATAAATACACTGGAGACATGGATTGAGAATATACCAAAAAAAATAATAATAATAATAATAACAAGATCTAGAAGAAATAAAGAAGAGTCTATCAGTAATAATGTGATAACTGAGATTAAAAACACTCTGGAGGGAACCAACAGTAGAGTAACCAAGGCAGCAGAAAGGACAAATTATATGGAAACATATTAAAGAGAATGGGAAAAAAGGAAGGCAGTGTGGAAAACCCCTGAGACTTTTGGGGACAATGTTAAATGCCATGCCACACTAGAAAGAAAAAAACAAAACAAACAAACCAGAGAGAGAGAAAAGAAAGAAAACAGGATCATGAGAAAATTGTTGAGGAGATAAATGTTGAAAATCTCCATTAAATGTGGAAGGAAATATTTCTCCAAGGCCCAGAGCCCCAGAAAGTCTCAAACATGATAAATTCAGAGTGAAACATTACACAACACATAGTAATCAGATTATGAAATATTAAACACAAAAATCAAACATTAGGAGCAGCAAGGGGAAAGCAATATATAATAAAGAAGTGAATCCCCATAAGGATAGGAGTTGGTCTTTCAATAGAAATTTTTCAGGTCAGAAGAGAATGATAGCATATACTCAAAGTGATGAATGAGTCAAATCTACAACCACCAAGGATCTTACAGAGATATAAAGGAGAAACCAAAATTTTAAGCAATAACTGAGAGAATTCATCACCATGAATATGTTATACTGTTAACAATGCTTTAAAACTGTGGCATTTCATATGTTATCATAATTGAAAAACACATCAGTGGCCAAGAGTTTGGAAAAGGTCAATTTTCATTCTGATATCAAAAAAGAGGAATGCCAAAGAACACTTAAACTGGGCAATTGTGCTCCTTTCAAATGCTAGCAAGATAATAATCAAAATTTTTCAGCAGTATGTGAACAAAAAATTTGAAGATGTGCAACCTACTTTTGGAAAAGATAGAGAAACCAGAGAACAATTGCCAATAAAATTTGGATCCCAAGAAAACAAGGAATTCCAGAAAAAAAAAGAAAAAATTTACACCTGCTTCTTTGACTCCACTAAAGCCATTTACTGTTGTGGATAACAATAACTGTGGACAATTCAAAAAGAGATGGAAGTATCAGACTTTATAATCTGTCTCCTGAGAAATAGATATGCAGGTCAAGATGCAAGAGTTGGAAGTAGACATAGAAACGTCTACTAGTTCAAAACATGGAAAGGAGTGTGACAAGGCTGTATACTGTCACTTTATTTATGTGAAATATGTTCAGGCTATAGTAAGCAAAATGCCAAGGTGGATGATAAACCTGATTCCAAAGACAGCTGGAATGAGTTTGTGGGAGGAACATCAACAACTTCAGAATACAGATGGTAACTCTTTAAAAAAAGAGAAAATGAAGCAGAACTAAAGAGTCTCTTGATAAGGGTAAATGAGAAGAGAGAAAAATCTCTCTGAAAGAACAAGTTTTAAAAAACAAAAATCATGTCATCTAGTCTCATCACTACTTGGCAAGTTAAACGAGAAAACTTGGAATCACTGAAAGACTTACTCTTCTTAGCCTCCAAACTCACTGTGAACGGTGACTGCAGTCATTGAACAACAACAACAAAAATCTTTGGAGAAAAAGCTATGGCAATCCTACACATTGTATTAAAAAGAAGAGACATCACTTTACTAGAAAGCCCCCAACAGTCACAAGCATATACAGTTTATCCAGAAGTCTCGTACAGATGTGAGCTTTGGACCATCAGTTCAGTTCAGTTCAGCTGCTCAGTTGTGTCGGACTCTTTGCAACCCCATGAACTGCAGAACGGCAGACCTCCCTGTCCATCACCAGCTCCGGGAGTCCACCCAAACCCATGTCCATTGAGTCGGCAATGCCATCCAACCATCTCATCCTCTGTCATCCCCTTGTCCCCTGTCCTCAATCTTTCCCAGCATCAGAGTCTTTTCAAATGAGTCAGTTCTTCACATCAGGCGGCCAAAATATCGGAGCTTCAGCTTCAACATCAATCCTTCCAATGAACAACCAGGACTGATCTCCTTTAGGATGGACTGGTTGGATCTCCTTGCAGTCCAAGGGACTCTCAAGAGTCCTCTCCAACACCACAGTTCAAAAGCACCAATTCTTCTGCGCTCAGCTTTCTTCATAGTCCAACTCTCACATCCATACATGATCACTGGGAAGAACCATAGCGAAAGTAGACGGACCTGTGTTGACAAAGCAATGTCTCTCTTTTTTAATATGCTGTCTATGTTGGTCATAAATTTCCTTTCAAGGCATAGGCATCTTTTAATTTCATGGCTGCTTATCACCATCAGCAGTGATTTTGGAACCCAGAAAAATAAAGTCAGCCACTCTTTCCCCATCAATTTCCCAAGAAGCGGTGGCTGCGTGGTCACAGGAGGGTCGAGAGGAGCTACTCCACAAGTCAGAAGGGGAGCCGTGAGGAGATACAATTCGTCCAAGGTAAGGAGCAGTGGCTGCACTTTGCTGGAGCAGACAAAAAGGAATACCCCAAGTCTAAGGTAAGAGAAACCCAAGTAAGACGGTAGGTGTGGCTAGTGGGCATCAGAGGGCAGACACTGAAACCATAATCACAGAAAACTACTCAATCTGGTCACGCGGACCACAGCTTTGTCTAACTCAGTGAAACTAAGATGTGCCATCCAAGATGTCAGGTCGTGGTGGAGAGATTTGACAGAATGTGGTCCACTGGAGAAGGGAATGGCAAACCACTTCAGTGTTCTTGCTTTGAGAACCTCATGAACAGTATGAAAAGGCAAAATGATAGAATATGGGAAGATGAGCTCCCCAGGTTGGTAAGTGCCCAATATGCTACCAGCGATCAATGGAGAAATACCTCCAGAAAGAATGATGGGATGGAGCCAAAGCAAAAACAATATGCAGTTGTATATGTGACTGGTGATAGAAGCAAGTTCCAATGCTCTAAAGAGCAATATTGCATAGGAATCTAGAATATTAGGTCCATCAATCAAGGCAAATGGGAACTGGTCAAACAGGAGATGGCAAGTGTGAATTTCGACATTCTAGGAATCAGCGAACTAAATCATGGACTGGAAAGGATGAATTTAACTCAGATGACCATTATATCTACTACTGGGGGCAGGAATCCCTTGGAAGAAATGGAATAGCCATCATAGTCAACAAAAGAGTCCAAAATACAGTTCTTGGATGCAATTTCAAAAACAACAGAATGATCTCTGTTCATTTCCAAGGCAAACCATTCAACATCACGACAATCCAAGCCTATGCCCCAACCAGTAATGCTGAAGAAGCTGAAGTTGAACGGTTCTATGAAGACCTACAAGACCTTTTAGAACTAACACCCCAAAAAAGATGTTCTTTTCATTAGAGGGGACTGGAATTCAAAAGTGAGAAGTCAAGAAACACCTGGAGTAATAGGCAAATTTGGCCCTGGAGTACGGAATGAAGCATGGAAAATGCTAGTAGAGTTTTGCCAAGAAAACACAACTCAGCTAACACCCTCTTTCAACAACACAAGAGAAGATTTTACACATGGACATCACCAAATGGTCAACACCGAAATCAGATTGACTATATTCTTTGCAGCCAAAGATGGAGAAGCTCTATATAGTCAGCAAAAACAAGACCGGGAGTTGACTGTAGCTCAGATCAACTTCTTATTGCCAAATTCAGACTTAAATTGAAGAAAGTAGGGAAAACCACTAGACTATTCAGGAATGACCTAAATCAAATCCCTTATGACTACACAGTGGAAGTGAGAAATAGATTTAAGGGACTAGATCTGATAGACAGAGTGCATGATGAACTATGGATGGAGGTTCCTGACATTGTACAGGAGACAGAGATTAAGACCATCCCCATGGAAAAGAAATGCAAAAAGGCAAAATGGTTGTCAGAGGAGACCTTACAAATAGCTGAAAAGAAGCGAAAAGCAAAGAAATAAAAGGAAACCCATTTGAATTCAGGGTCCCAGAGAATAGCACGGAGAAATAAGAAAGACTTCCTCAGTGATCAATGCAAAGAAATAGAGGAAAACAACAGAATGGGAAAGACTAGAGATCTCTTCAAGAAAATTAGACATACCAAGGGAACATTTCATGAAAATAAGGGTTCAATAAAGGACAGAAATGGTATGGACCTAAGAGAAGCAGAAGATACTTAGAAGAGGTGGTAAAAGTACACAGAAGGTCTGTACAAAAAAAGATCTTCACGACCCAGATGATCATGATGGTGTGATCACTCACCTAGAGTCAAACATCCTGTAATGTGAAGTGAAGAGGGCCTTAGAAAGATCAGTATGAACAAAGCTAGTGGACGTGATGGAATTCCACTTGAGCTATTACAAATCCTGAAAGATGATGCTGTCAAAATGCTGCACTCAAAATGCCAGGAGATCAGTCCTGAGTGTTCATTGGAAGGACTAATGTTGAAGCTGAAACTCCAATATTTTGGCCGCCTGATGTGAAGAACTGACTCATTTGAAAAGACCCTGATGCTGGGAAAGATCGAGGGCAGGAGGAGAAAATGGATGAGATGGTAGGATGGCATGACTGACTTAATGAACATGAGTTTGGGTGGGCTCCGTGAGTTTGTGATGTACAGGGAGGCCTGTTGTGCTGCATTTCATGGGGTCACAAAGAGTCAGACACAACTGAGCTACTGAACTGAGCTGATCTCATATACTAAAAGAATAGAGAAACAACAAAAAGTAACAACAACAACAATAATATAAGTGGGAAATACTAGGTAAACTGAACAAACAAGAGAGAAGATTCAGTTACTGACATGAGAATGAGTTAGATGCTATTGCTATGAAATCATAGTAGACGAAGAGGAGTGTTGGGTACTTGAACAAGGGTTTATGCTAGCAAAAGACTTAAGTTACATGAAACAGTAAAATTGCTAGAACAGAGTGACTAAAGCAATTTTAAAAACTGGAAAATCTGATAAGACTCATAATAGAGAGGTTGAATTAGTAATCACACTGTCCATAAATAAAAATTTAGAAACTGATTTTTTTTATGCTATACTATAACGATAGCTTTTCTGAGCATGTCAATGACAATATATGAAAGGCAAAGCTTTACTATATGTATAACTAATCAATAAAGTGATATTTCATGTGTAAAGTCACTACACTCCTGACAGACTCTCTGAAGCCCCCCCAGACTTTCCCCAGCCAGGATCTTTGGTCCATGGTATTCTCAATGTGAGATAGCAGTAATGGCTTGCCAAGCCTTCCCTCCAGGAGTCTTCATGACCAACGGATCGAACCTGCATCTATGCAGGTATACATATATATGTATATGTCTAAATGTATAGGCTTATACTTTTGTTCTCTATAGGAATGTACAGGTATATATTTTACTATAGGTTTATACCTAAAGGTATGCAATTTTGCTGGATCCAATGTTGTTCATTCACTTCAATATATTTTCTAATCTCCCTTGTGACTTATGCTTTGACTTATTGGTTCCTTAGGGGTGTCTTGCTTAATTTTCCACACATTGAAAAATTTTTAAAATTTATTTCATTATTGATTTTCAGCTCCAATTCTTGATGGTTAGAGAAAAAATGTGGTATGATTTAAAATTCTAAGACTTATTTTATGTCTTAATATAAAGGCTATTCTTAAGAATATTCCAGAGTACATCCAGATATATACAGATACATATGAGCAGATACATATATATATACACACACATGAGAAGAGATACATATATATATATACTGTATATGTATGCATGTCTATGTATATACATGTCTATGTACATATGTGCATATATACATACATATGTATATACCTACATACATATATGTGTATGTGTGTATGTGTATATATACACACACTCACACACACACATATATATATATGACTTGAAAACACGACACCACTCTCCTGTATACGTTTTCTAGATCTTGAAGTGTTTCTGGCCATGTTCTTCAAAATTATATTTTCCTTCCACTCTCCTCTTTGGAACTTGCATTAAATCTGTATTAGGACTTTTCACATTATTATAGGGCCACTTTAAATCCTGTTGTGGTAGAAGGCAAAAGAATCTCTCTACAGACAGTAGCTGAGGGTGTAGAGAATAGAGCACACTGTGAACTAAGAATATTGCCAACCATAACAGTAAGCAAAAAAAAAAAAAAAGCTGCAGTCATCGAGTCATAAACTCTTGAAGAAATCCTTGAAGGTGAACCCTGAGGGGAGTCTGGATGAAATAAGTTTGCCCACCATAAAACCCTCAGATTCCACAGCTTCCACCAATTGTGTGCCCATAAGTGACTTGAGACAGAAAAGTCTCAAGTATACTGGCCCTGGTTAAGGTGCCTACTGAAGGAATAATTTCAAGGAGGCTAGGTTCTTTCACTTTCCCATAGGCAGAAAAAATTTAAATCCATTCACTTGAGATGTCCAGATGTTCTTTAATTAGACATAATTTTTGACATTCTGTCTACCTAAGCATTGTTACAAAAGTTCTATTCATCCTGATTCCTCCTTTCACTCTTCAGAGTGGTCTTACAGAAATACTTGGGAAGTTGATCCTCAGGATTAAATCCTCCTCAGGATAAAACTCTTGCTGAATGAAACACAGTTCTCAACCTTTAGGCTATGAATTTTTCCCAGTCAGTAGCACACACTTTAGAATTTCCAAATAAGTGATTCTTGTCTTGAATCGCAGCTTTCAACGTATTTTTACAAATTTCTACTTAGCATCGTTTTGATTGTCAAAAGTTTACCATTATTTATTAAAACTTGAATGATTTCATGTTTCCATAAACTGGTGACATCAATTGGCAGCACCTTTAGAAACAATGACAAACAAATCAAGTGAAGGTACCCTTATGTCTGCAGTCTAAATTTATTCTGGCTAATTTAACTCTGCATTTGAATTTTTTGCTTTTTGTTTTGTAGATACCTACTAAAGCGGTCTTTGGTATATATTTTACTTGACATGTGCACTGTGATGTCTTTCTTGTCAGTTGCTCATGTTGGCCAAGGACTGATTTTCTTTTTCAATTTAAAAAATAATTTCAAATTGGAATATAATTGATTTACAATACTGTGTTAGTTTCTGCTATTCTACAATGTAGGTCAGCTATTGGTATATAGAGCAGAGCCCCCCTTTTGATCACCCACCTCCTTTTCGAACCTCCTCTCCTACCCCACAACCAACTTCTCTAGGGCACCCCAGAGCACTGAACAGCTTTTCACTAGCTGTCTACTTCATCCTTGATATTACATTTGTCAGTGCATCTTGCTCAATTCATTAACGCTCTCCTTTGCCCTCTGTGTCCAGAAGTTTGTTCTCTACCTCTGCATTTCTTTTCCCATCCTCCAAATGGGTTCTGCATTATTATTTTCCTAGATTTCACTTATATACTTTAATATAGAATATTGATCCTTCTCTTTCTGAATTACCTCATTCTGTATAATAGGCTCTAGTTCTATCCATACCTCTACAAGTCATTCAGTTGTG